AGAAAGTCAGCCGCTCTGTCTGCTATAACAATGGAAGATACAATGTTGCCGTGCCATGGAAAAAACAGAGGCCCTCAGCTGCCCAACAATCGCCAAATAACAGAATCCCGTCTTCTGAGCACCGAGAAAAATCTGAAGAAAGATTTTGTTAGAAAGGAGTAACATAAGACTATCGAGACGTATGTGAAGAAAGGGTACCTTCGTAAAGTCCCAGAAACCGAAGCTCGACCCCCTGAAATTTGGTACCTACCGCACTTCCCGATTTTCAAGATGACCAAGTCCACAACCAAAGTGAGGATTGTCTTTGATTGTTCTGCAAGGTTCAATGAACTCTCTTTAAACGATGTCATTCCTGCCGGGCCAAAGCTTCAGATAGAGTTGTTTGATGTTCTAACTCGTTTCTGCCGCAGTTCGGTAGCCCTTGTGTGCGACATCCAAGAGATTTATCTCCAGATAGAAACCGAAGCTGAAGACCGAGCGTTGTTCCGAATTCTGGGGCGAGATGGAGGGACAGACCGCGATCCAGATGTGTACGAGTTTAGCAGAGTTGTCTTTGGGAAAAACTCAGCCCCCATGCAGGCCTAGTTTACTGCACAGGAACGTGCTAGGCGTCACCAAACTGAATATCCATTAGGTGCTGAAACGGTACTTCAGTCTACGTACATGGACGACTCACTGGACAGTGTTGAGGAAGATGGGAAAGGGATCGAACTGTATCGCCAACTTAAGTAATTGTGGGCGAAAGCAGGCATGCATGCCCGGAAGTGGGTATCGAATTCAGCCAAGGTAATTGCAGCTATACCGGAAGAGGACCAAGCCACGAAAGTGAACATAAGGGACAATAAAGATGTAGTCACGACAACACTTGGCCCACGGTGGAACAGCACCGAAGATGTATCTGAAGTACCTGCAACACTACCCCCACCTGACTACCCGATTACTAAGAGGAAAGTCTTGAAAAAGATTGCGACCGTCTTTGATCCGCTTGGTCTTGTAAGGCCTTTCATCGTGAAAGCAAATATTATGCTCCTACAACTGTGAAATCGAGGCTATGATTGGAATGAAGAGGTCCAGGATGAAGTGGCTAATCGTATCCAGCTATGGTTCGTACAGTTATCGAGTCTGGTGAACGTCAACATTCCTCATTGCCTGCAAGACCAGAAACCAGTGAAATCGAAAGGAAGTGGTAACCTTTGTTGATGCCTCGCAACAAGCCCATGAAGCTTCGTTGTACTTACGACGCGAGTATGAGGATGCTACAGTAACTTCACGGCTAATCGCTTCAAAGAGTAAAGTTGCTCCGCTTACCCCCATCACCGTACCGAGACTGGAGTTTATGGGAGCCCTAGTAGGGCTGCGTTTGACCCAGTCTGTTTCCAGAACTATAGGACAACCTATAAAAACTGCAACTTTCTATTCAGACAGCTAGGACGTGCTATGGTGGATTCGCGGGAGAGGAAGAGATTTCCGGCCCTTTGTCGCAAATCACATTGGAGAAATAAAACTTAGCACTGAACCACTTCAGTGGCAGCATGTTCCCACCGATGTGAACCCAGCAGACATGTGTTCTAGAGGGATGAGCCCCGTTGCACTTGCCGAGTCCCGACTATGGTGAAATGGTCCTGAGTGGTTAATGAAAGCAAGAAATGAATGGCCAAAGACGCACCTAGCAGAGAGCCCAAAAGTCATGCCAGAGATGAAGAAGGCAAAGAAACAGGAAAGCGAGATTATCACATGTATGACAATGCAGGCAAGCCAACCTCAAACTGTGATCAGGCCAAGTCAAGCTGCCATCAGTACCAGCTGGAGACTGAGCCCAACAAGCTTCTCAAATTGGAGCCGATTAATACATGTACATGCCAGAGTAAGAAGGGTTCTCCGCAACAAGGCAAAGAGGGGAAAGAGACAGACCAGTAAAGCGTTGTTGCCCCCAAGAGATGTTCCCAAGAGAAGCTAAGGAAGAAGTGGTGCGATCATGTCAGCGAGAAGCGTTTTCCAATAAGTACAAGGCTATAGTGTCCAGGAAACCGATACCGTTAAAGAGTCCGCTAATCAAGCTGAACCCTATCTTGGATGAAGAAGGTTGCATGCGTTTTAATGGAAGACTTCAGTTTCCAAAATACCTGCCATATTATGTGCGTTTTCCGAAGATATTGCCACGAGGACACTGGGTAACAAAGCTCATTGTCAAACACTACCATGAACAGGCCAATCATACCGCAGGTACCAACTTTGTCCTGTCACAAGTCAGCGAAAAGTACTGAATTATTGCAGCCGGTGAAGAGATCCGAGAGTGGGAGCGAGAGTGCAACATGTGCAAACGAAGGAGGGGCAAAGCCACAACACAGATCATGGCTCCGATTCCAGGGATTCGTTTTAGATTTACCTTTCGCCCCTTTGCCCAAACAGCCATGGATTACGTTGGGCCTTTTGCCACTGTGCAAGGTCGAGGAGTGCGCCGTCAAAAAAGGTGGCTGTGCCTGATCACTTCCTTATCATTTCGTCCAGTCCATTTGGAGGTGGCATTTGGTTTAGACCCGGACAGCTTTTTAAATGCCTTTACACGTTTCACCAGCAGAAGAGGGGTGCTAAAGGAGATGGTCAGTGATTGCGAAACCAATTTTGTTGGAGCCGCCAACGAATTGAAAGAGCTTGTAAGTGAGTTGGACCAGGACAAGACTCAGCAAAGCGGAGCTCATCAAGGTGTAAAATGGAATTTCAATCCATCTGTGGCACCTCACTTTGGTGGCATCCATGACGTAATGATTATATCAGCTAAGAAGGCTATCTATGGAGTAATTGGAACCAGTAACGTAACTGATGAAGAGTTAATTACTGCAGCGGTAGCGGCCGAAAGTCTGCTCAATTCGCGGCCGCTTACCTACCACTTAGCTAACCCTCAGGATATTGTACCGCTTGCTCCAAACCATTTCTTACATGGTCAGCAGGGTGGCTAGTTCGCACCTGAAACCGTTGATACCACACAGTTCAGCCCACGCAAACGTTGGAGAGAGGTTCAGGAGATAATTTCGCAAGTTTGGAGGAGGTGGCTGCGCGAGTATCTTCCGCCGTTAAGCAGAAGGCCTTAATGGACCCAAGTGGTCAAAGATCTAAAAGAGGATGATGTCGTGCTTGTTTTGGATTCAAAACTGCTCAGAGGGCGATGGCCTCTAGGACGCATCATTGAGACCTACCCAGGGAGAGATGGCTACACCAGAGTCGCCAAGGTCCAATTTGGAGTAAGTACCGTTGCGAGACCGATCCGCTGTTATTCGCTTTCTTTTTTTCCTGGAGAATCACTCTGATATTTACCTCCTAGTGCGGGGAAGGGGAGATGGATAAGGGACCCTTTAAGACTAGTGACACGCGTCACGCAATTCAGTATGTTACGTAATCATCAGATTTCAGTCTTGTTATATAATCTTCGGTTCTAGTTTTTTACTTGATAGTTTAGAAAAAAAAGAGTGAGCACGCGGTTGAAAGCAAAGCAGGTTTTTAGTTCGAGTAGAGAAGTAGTGTAACCGTTGTTGTTAAGGGAGATTTTTTGCTTTAAACCGTACCCGAAATCATGTGTTTTGTTTACCGTGTTTCATCGTAACTACAATCTCTGACCTTTCTTTAAGAAAGCCACTCCTGGTTGGCTTTTTCCAAAGGTATTATTTGCAATGCACTGATATGTTCCATAATCTTCCGTCTCTACTCCCGTTATAAAAATCTGACTGCGAATTGCCCGGTTGTCTTGAATAACACTTGCTCTGAAGTTGGACTGTAAAGGGTATGAAGCATTGTCCTTTATCCAAATGATCGTTGGCCTCGGGATGCCCCTAGCAGTGCAGCTAAAGGAAGTGTTGGAACCGATCGAGACACTTTGGCTCTCTGGACCTTCAACAATCTCAGGTTTTTGGACCCCGGCAAGATAACAACGTATACTAGTTGATGATAGGAATATGATGGAAATTAAGGTAAAAAAAAAAGGAAGCAGAAGAAGCAAGAAGAAGATGCAACAGGATATTCAAAGCAAAGCCCATACGATTTTTCTCTAGAAGTCAGGTCATTGCAGCAATCGCCTTTAAAATCCTTAATTTTTTCCTTTTATCAGAAAATATCTAACCTATTTTTAAGAAAGCCACTCCTGATTGGTTTCTCTCACAGCTTTTATTTGCAATACACTGATATTTGCCATTATCTTTCATCTCTACTCTCGTTATGAAAAGCTGGCTGCGATTTGTTCGGTTGTCTGGAATAACACTTAGTCTGGAGTTGGACTGTAAAGGATCTGAAGCATTGTCCTTTATCCAATTGATTGTTGGGAAGCCCCTAGCAGTGCAGCTAAAGGTAGCATTGGAACCGATCGAGACACTTTGGCTCTCTGGACCTTCAATAATCTCAGGTTTTTGGACCTCTGCAAGATAACAACGAAACTTTAGTTCATAATAGAACTATGATGAAAGTTAAGGTGAAAAAGTAAAAGACGAAGAAGCAGAAGAAGAAGGAAGAGGTTAAGAAGACGTAACAGGATTTTCAAATCAAGGTCCTCATGATTTTTCCTACAAGTCAATTCCTTGCAGTAACCGTCTTTTTAAAAGATCCTTATTTTTTCCCTTTGATCAAAAAAAATCTAACCTATGTTTAAGAAAGCCACTCCTGATTGCTTTCTTTCGAAGATATTATTTGCAATGCACTGATATTTTCCCTCATTTTCATCTCTACTCCTATAATCAACAGTATTTGCCAGCCATTCCGACTCTTCGTCTTCAGAAAAAT